TGTATAGAGTGCATCACAAATGCATAGACTGGATCACACATGTATAGACTGCATCACAAATGTATAGACTGGATCACACATGTATAGACTGGATCACAAATGTATAGACTGGATCACAAATGCATAAACTGCATCACATGTATAGATGCATCACAAATGCATAGACTGGATCACACATGTATAGACTGGATCACAAATGTATAGACTGGATCACACATGTATAGACTGGATCACAAATGTATAGACTGGATCACAAATGCATAAACTGCATCACAAATGTATAGACTGGATCACAAATGCATAGACTGGATCAGACATGTATAGATCATCACAAATGTATAGACTGGATCACAAATGTATAGACTGGATCACAAATGTATAGACTGGATCACAAATGCATAAACTGCATCAAATGTATAGAGTGCATCACAAATGCATAGACTGGACACATGTATAGACTGCATCACAAATGTATAGACTGGATCACATGTATAGACTGGATCACAAATGTATAGACTGGATCACAAATGCATAAACTGCATCACTATGTATGGATAGACTGGATCACACATGTATAGACTGGATCACAAATGTATAGACTGGATCACAAATGTATAGACTGGATCACAAATGCATAAACTGCATCACAAATGTATAGACTGGATCACATAGGCATTAGAAATAATGCAGTGAAAAATAGCATTAAACAAAAAACGGGAAAAAATTGGAAAACTTCATAACTCCTGTCAATAAGAGAAATCTGAAATGGCATGGCCATGTCATATGAGACAACAATCTTTCTACTGCCAATCCTATGAGGTAAAACCTTAAGCAAAAGTGGTGAGTGGACTGGAAGATTAGTCACATTGACTCAGACATTGTTACGTAACCTAGATGTATAAAGTGAGCTTGTCAGGTGGTGGGCTGTATACTGCCCCTCCAACCACATCCAATCAGGAGATTGATGATGATGGCGACAATGATAAAATGTGGAACAAAATAATCATGTTAGGGAGAAAATTATTCGAAAAACAATAAGTGTACCATATCAAGCCAAGGTGAAAATTGAAGGAACTAATTTCATTGTGCCAGCACTTCTTTTCGGTACACAAGAATACCTCTTATAAAGTTTAATAAATTCAGCACAATAAGAGATTAACAACAGTAACTAACAATAAAATAGAACAATATACTCTATTAAAAGTTTTAATGGATAGAAGAGAGATTCTTACTGCAGATCATGGCAAGATTAGCTCATGATGTTTTTTCTTATTAAATTGAATACGTCCACCTTTTCACTTAAAAGGAAATACTTTATGGCTTCTCCTCAGCATATCTGAATTGTCAGCTTCATGACTCTTGCACTTTGGAACCAGAATTAAGTATTATTTACATTATTTACAATTGGTTTAATGCCTTTATCTTTGTTACTGTGATCAGAACATTTTAGCTGGTGTGTTCTACAGTCTTCTTCATATACTCAATGTTATTATGACAATGTTATACTTTCCAGCCTTTGTTTGGCGTCTGACAATCTGGGTAAACTTCAGGACTTTCAAACTGAACCTCTTATCTAATCTGCATGGGTAGAGTGTTCTCCTTCCACTGTTAATGTAACTAAAGAATTAACTGCGATGAGATATCCCTAGACATAGACAGAGGGAATGGGAATTATCTACCCAATAGAGGGAATAAAGTGTTCCCTTCAAAATTCCTTGGAGATAACCCAGATTGACAGAAGGCTTGATAGCATACCAGCCAAATATTGGGATTGTAAAAACAAAGATGAGGACATAAGTCCAACCCTAAATAATCATTACCTCCATCCATTTTTCCATCAGATTAACCACATTTGTGATCATTTGTCATTCATTCTGAACTCCACTACCCTTTCCTTGTTCTTCTACTAGACTGGTTGCCAACCAAGTTTGAAGATCCTAGTCTGCCCTATTTATTAACATATTATTTTTAATGTATATATATATATATATATATATATATTATTCAGTCATGAGCCCATATATATATATATATATATATATATATATATATATATATATATATATTTCTCACATGATTTAATATCAATACACGGAAGGATATTCATGAGTATGGATGGATTTTGTTAAAAATTAGCAGACATAGTGTCTGTAGTTTATTGAATCACACATGCCTAAAAGAGAATTTGCTGCCTAAATACACAATATATATATTCATACACGTTTCATTAAATAATATAGACAAGTGTTGTCTATTTATTTTATGTAAATTTTTTTCATAACATCTGATAAGTTTAATAACATTATCGTTGAACGAAGAAAGAAATTCACAATATTGATCCATATTTTTTTTAATACAATCTAAGCTTTCGGCTTACTTAAGCCATTATCAAAGATGTCAATTACAACATATTAAACAATATATGGACAAGACAGTGATGATATTATTTAATGAAACGTGTATGAATGAAAAGATGCTGCCTAAATACACACAATTTAAATATATATATATATATATATATATATATATATATATATATATATGGGCACATAACTGAGTGGTTAGAATGTTTGCTTTCTGATCATGAGACCTGGGTCTGAATCTCATCATGGTCAATTTGTCAAGAAGGAGACTTCCTGATGTTATCAGACTGGAATGAGGTCAATCCCAGTATGCGGCACCTTTGGAAAGTACCTGGAAACCATACCACAGGTTGACCCAACCCTTGTGAGTGAAATTGAGTAGATGAACCTCTTAGGGTCCGTCAATAGTTGTGCTAGCATGAAGCCACCAGTCATCATGGCCGAGGGCTTGAGTGTGCTGGCCTTGTTCAAATTGGTGATCACATTAGATAACATGCTCTCTCCCAGGATATGATCAGCATAGTTGCAGTATAAACCAGAGTTTTGACTCTGTGGATGTTGAACAAACACAAATGTGCCTGAGTGAGCGTCTACAATAGGGGTTGGCTAGTCTCCCTAGTAGACGGGTATCAACGAACACAAGTGGCCAGCTATTATATATATATATATATATATATATATATATAAGTAAAATTTCAGATAGAATATATCTGTAAAATGAATAAAGGAATACTTATCTTAGCTGATGCTTTTCATCTTATGAGAATTTTTATCAAGGCAAATACGTTGATAAAGTTTCTTTGAGGATTAAGCATTTCTTTTGTCAACTAGAATGTTTTCCTTCTGTCTTTATACTTATCTATCTTTCTCTCTCTCTCTCTCTCTATATATATATATATATATATATATATATATATATATCTACATACACACACACACATGCATATACCAGGTGAAACAACAAAATTGTCCAAATCATGTAACAGCATAGTTATTCATACAACAAAAAGTTTAAATATCTAAAAAATCACTAAACTAATTGAGTTTCTTTTTCCAGGTTTTCAGATTTTTATCCATCTTGACACCATTTTCTGTAAGAATTACTGAAAAAAAAACCTTTGAGTTATTCAATGAGGAAGAGAACAGGTTAAAATAATTTTGTGTCTGCTTCACTATGTCTTCCCAACTGAGTAATGGTGAGAGGAAAAAGTCATTCAGGACTTCAGTAATGGTACCACCATTCATACTCTGGTTTCCATCTTCAAAGTCCACTCAAGAACCATCAAGAGAATGGTGAATAAGTTTAAAAAAGAGGGAACAGTATACAGAAAAAACTTGTTCAAGTGATCACTTGAAAACTAAAGAGATCAATTAAAAAAGATCCAACTCAATTCATATGACGTTTGGCATGTGAGAGAGGAGTTTCAGCAATTACAGTGCAAAGAGCAGTGAAAAAAGACTTGAAAATGAAATTGTAGTTAGAAGGTAAGACAGGGTGAACATCATCTTGAATAAGTTGGAAAATTATCCTGGAATAAAATATATATATATTTGAACTTTATTTCAGTATCTCATGAAGTTCCAATCCTTAGCTATGATTCATTAATGAGGAACATGTCATTTTCATTTATGATCGATTTCATCATAATTCTTCTGTTAAACTTGGAAAGTAATTATACATTCTTATTGCTCAAAAGTAGAGTCCAATAATGTTATGAAAACCTCAGAGAATTCTAGTAAAATATCTTTAATCATTTCTAAGATAGAACAGTTCAGTGCTTAATCTATGAATTTGACAATTTGCTGTTACACCCAGTACACACACACACACACACACACACACATATATATATATATATATATATATATATATATATATATATATATATATATATATACATTAATTTTATTACTTCAAATGTTATTTTAGTGGATATCCATATTTTAGTAGGCACTATTTTAAATAATATTTATTTCATCTACACTCAAGAAAACTTATTAAAGAACATGTGGTTTCTGGCAGGATTTGAACTGGTGTCCTCCTTTGTGGGAGAAACCATTAGCTGATCTGTCATACTTTAACTGTTTGGCTGTGAAGAGTTTCACAATCAAGCAAGTATCTATTTCTTTTTAGAGAGCACATTTTCTTTAATAGGTTTTGTTAAGTAGACAGAATAAATACCATTTAAAATAAATGGAGCATCTACTCAAATATGGTATCCACAAAAATAACGTCTGAATGAATCTAAATATTTGTCAGATTCAAAAATAAAATCTGTTAATTCTTTAAAGATTGCTTCATTTAGCAGATATACCTTTTGAGAAAATCTGAAAGAGTGAGTGTGCTTTGGTAATTGTTATGGAAAGTGGAATCAGCAGTCTGAGTTCAAATCAAGGTCTAGTCTGTTGCATTCACTTTCCCATAAATCTTGCAGATCAAAATTCACAGCTTTGATTGTCTTGTGACGACCATGGTTTGGCTGTTCCTGTAACAGTTTACATCTGGGATTGGAGCACGTGATTTTAATTTTGTTCCATTTATCAGCAATTTTAACATGTAGTGGTCACTTCCTTGTAGGATCAGCTGAAAAGGGGTGCTGAAAATAAAAAAGTTAAGAATCACAGAACTAGTGGAACATGTTTTGCCAAGATTCATGGGGCTTCCTTCAGACTAAACTCCCTAGTAGAAAGTTGATCACATGGCCTGTAGAGCCATTTTGTGGAGCAGACTCCAGACTGGATGCTTCCCTGAACACTTCAGTCTTGACTGCATCATGTCAAAAGTCAGTTATCTATCCTCCTTATTCGCATAATCTCTACTTACCACCTTCTCTTCCATTCATATTGCATACCTTATTTATCATTACCAATTCCAATGTAGCACACTACCTTGAGAGGCTCTCAAGCCTTACATTGTGTGAATTGCAAAAGTCAAGGTGACTGAATATGTTCTGTACAGACCTCACTCACACATGCACATGTACACACACACAAAAAATATATATATATATATATATATATATATATATATATATATATATATATATGGAGAGAGAGAGAGAGAGAGAAACATGTTTCATTGAATAATTTAGACAAGTTTTGTCTACTCATTTTCAATTGGATCCTTTTATATTCACAGACAAGCTTTTTGGTGTCATTACTGAAGCATGAGAGAAAATCACTGTGCTGATACATATTTCATTTATTCTGAGTACTTTTGACATTGCAGAATGTCATCATCAGGGTGTTGTTTATTTCAAGACAAATATTGTTCTGTCCATCATTTTCAAAGACAAAATTGCTCATAAGGTCACAAACAACTCTCCATGCAACCCCCATATGTTAGCTCTATTATGGATATTGAGCACATTTCACTAAATACCTCACATATATATATATATATATATATATATATATATATATATATATATATATATATATATATATAAATAAATTAAATTATATATATATATATATATATATATATATATATATATAAAATTAGATGCGAGAAATATACATATAGACACCCATATGCTTGCAGATCTACAAGCATATAAGTATAATTGGGTATACATAATTTAAATGTTGATTCATTACTCTCAACAAAAAATGAAAAATATTTCAGAGTTTGACAGAAAATATCTTGTGATTAAGCAATCACGTTTTTCAAGATAAATTTTATGGATGAATAAATGAAAAAATTAGTCATTCTTTTGAGGCTTTATTTCATTCCTCATTTTTTATTCATCTTTTCCATTTCACTTTCACTTTCACTTCTGTTTTACTAAATATTTTAAATAGTCTTTCTTACTTTTTTTCATTTGTTTATAACTTCTTTGCGCATTGACTTTTCTCTCTTCATTTTTCTTTCCTTCCTTTTCAGTCATAATTTCTTTTGATTTATTGTGATTCTTTTTCTTTTTTTTCTATACCATATTTTCCTTTCATCATCCATTCTAGTTTTTTACTTCCTTACAAAGATTTTCTTTTTTTTCATTCTTCCTTTCACTGTTTCTTTCTTATTTTTATTTTAACATCTTTTTTCTATCGTCTTATTTTCTTTCTTTCTTTCTTTCTTTCTTTGTTTGTTTCTTTCTTTCTTACCCACCTACAGAAATTTTCCAGCCTTTTTTCTTCTCATTCCTTCTAGATTTTTTAATTCACCTTAAATTCCTTTTACTTCTCTTACATTTTTACTTTGTAACTTTCTTCCTCAACTCATTTAAGTGTTTTTCTCTTCTTCTTTATTAATTTCTTACCCTCACTTTTCTTTCTTTAATTTTATTCTTTTTCTTTCTTTCTTTCTTTCTTTCTTTCTTTCTTTCTTTCTTTCACATTGCATTTTTCTTTTTCCCTTTTCTTATCTTCTTTCTTTCCTTTTCAGCCATAAATTTCTTTTTATTCCTTTCATTGTTTACTTTAATTTATTTTTCTCACAAAAATTTTTCTTTCTTTCTTTTATTTTACTCTCATTTTTCATCTTGTTTTCTTTCTTTCTTTTTTTCCCCAAAAATTCTTTTTTCATCTCATTCCTTCCAGATTCTTCTCACCTCAATTCTCTTCTACTTTTTCTTCTTTTACTTCTTTGATTTCCTCACCCAATTTAACTTATTTTGTTCTCTTCTTTATCCATTTCTTAACCTTCTTTGTTTCTTTCTTCTTTGTTTGTTTGTTTCTTTCTTTTTCTTTTTTTCTTTCTTTCTTTCTTTCTTTCTTTCTTTCTTTCTTTCTTTCTTCTCAATATTCCCCCTCCCTGCCTATTTTTCCTTCTTTTTTTCTATTCTTCAAATGTCAATCTATCACACTGATCCTTTTAGCTTATTGTTCATTTTTTGTATTCAGCTTCAGCATTTTTATCAGCCTTCATCCTTAACAACCAAATGTCAATCATGTCTACCTATATATGTAAGTAAAGCATTCTAATCCTTACTTATTAGCCAAGCTCAAACATAATCTTGCTTTTACCTCTGACAAAAAAAGCTTACGTGTAGATAAATTCTTTCCTTTGTAAACCAGACTTATACACATATACATAACGTCCCATCTCTTCACTTTTGAAAAACAAACTTTTTTGCCTGATATTATACTTATGAAAATTCTTACGAAAGTTTATACCATGAGAGACGACAATAACAATAAGTCCAGCTGCTTTTGGGTGTGGCCAGATAGTTTTTGGTGATTCTGCAGCAAGACAAAAGAGATTTTAAATACTTCTGTGAATTATATAGAACGATGAGAATGATTTATTTTCTCTCTCTGGATGAAAAGCCATTTATTTAAAAATGATTTCAAATTAAAAACTCTATATAATAAAAATGATGGACAAATCATTGTGAAATGATCTAAAAATATACACAAGGAGGTGCTGAAAAGTTTCCAGAATCTGATCAAATGGCACCAAATATCAAACTTTTTGAGGAAAGACTTCTGAGTTGGGATGAGAAATTTTAATCTCCACGTTCAGTATGTTTGTGTGTATGCATGTGTGTGTGTGTGCATGTGGTAAATATATAAGATAATTTGGAATTTTTATCTTGACATGTTTTGCCAATGAAACAGCGCCATCAGAAAAATAGAATTATTTTACAAAAACAAAATGTACATTAACAGGACAAAAAGTGATTTAGGTTAAACATCTGAAGACTTGATTTTTTTCTTTAATTGAATTAAAATTAGAGTTCTTTTTTCCACACAAATTCTCTTATATATATATTAACCATTCTGTCAGATTCTCATCCGATGTGTTTGTGCGTGTGCATGTGCCAAGAAAGCATCTTGTGTAAAAATTGTAATAAGGTTATAATAATTGCAATATAATAATATGTAATCATTTCTCATTTGTATACAAATAAGGGCTTCCTGAATAAATACAAAAATTACATATAATTTGAATTAATTATTTAATCTCTCTCTCAGGAAATGTATGAATCCATCTCTTCTGTCACCAGCTATGGGTTAAATAGCAAAGTAGATTGAACTCTCTAGCCAAGGTTGGAAACCAGTCTATGAAAATGGCAACTGTGAATCCCAAACTAAATGTGCACTGTAACCGAGTATAGTTGAAGTATAAACTACAGGTTGACTTTGTTGGTGTTGAAGAAACAAAAATGTGCCTGAGCAGGTGGGCTGGCTTCAAAATGAGTCAGATATCAGGAAAGATTGACCTGTGTAGTCATAGTTAAATAAAAAAATGACCCTGAGCAGATATACAGGCTTGGAAACAAGACAGATTAGACTCTATAGCAATGGTTAAATAAAAAATGGGTGTGAGCATATAGGCAGGCTCGAAAATAATAATAATAGTAAGGACTATGAAATTTGTTTTAAAAAATTACAGCATAGCTATACCTAGTATATTTATATATATATATATATATATATATATATATATATATATATATGTGTGTGTGTGTGTGTGTGTGTGTGTGTGTGTGTGTGTGTGTGTGTATATATATATATATATGTATGTATCTCTCTCTCTCTCTCTCTATATATATATATATATATATATATAATTATTTATTTAAAAATTATAACATAAATATGTTATAAAATCACTACAAAAATAGCCATTTTGTTTCAACACCTCTGGTGTCTTATGAAGTGATGATGTTGAATGTAGAATAAAGGGTTTTAAAAGGTTCAAATTAATTAACCACCCCTCATAAGGGGAAACACTGTTACATAAGCTGGAATGACCAATCAAAATACAAGTATACAAGAATTCAAAAAACTTGACAATGAACTAAGGTTATAATAACTATTTAATGCCTTAATGTTGGGGTTAGACTAAAATAGAATTTATTCTAATAAGTATTAAATTATATGATAAAATTTGAAATTAAAATAAAAAATAAAAAATTACCCATTTTAAAATCTAAATTTAATCTCTATTAAGTTTAAAATTATAAAATTACTGCGGAAAAAAGAAAAAATACATGTTATTCTATTTATTTTGCTTTTATTGAAATTATGTTGGAATAGACATTAAGGTCGACTGCTCTTAACTTCATGAAAACATGGATACATTTGAATTCCAAGTGTAGAGATGGAATGATGACATCTTGCAAAAGACAATACATACATGCTCAGATTATAATACGTAAGCACCCAGACATATTTAGTGTATAGTAATTGTTGGTTATTGGAATTTATTCCATATACACCAATCCTATACTTGGGTATATATATATATATATATATATATATACACGACCCTGAAAAAATAAAATTCAGTTGAACACTTTAGAGGAAGAAGCATGAATTTGTAAACAGTAATTGCTATTGTTGATGCAAAAGCTCTTCTATGAATTGAGCACTCTGAGTCACTGGCATTTTATTCTAAAAATAAATGCATAAAAATTCACCTTCCTCTCTGCTGGGAGCTGATAACTCAGGGGAAAAATCTCTGACTGATGCCAAATCAGTTGGGTTTCAATCCTGGCTTCAATCAGATGTCTAGCCACACTGATGAGCTGTGATACAGTGAAACAGTCTGCCTGTGGATGAAACATATATATAAATATATGTATATATATGGTTGTTTCTTATTACTATAAGCATTATTTTTAGTAGGTACAAGTGTTTGTGTTGATATCCATGTTTCTTCTGTTTTTTTTTTTAAACAGTGAAATTAATACTAATCAGCAGAGATCAGAAGTTCTCAATCCATGGTGGGGGGGGGGGAATTCTCTGCAGGGGGTTCCCCATCAGGGATATTTCAGGGTTTCAGGAGGATATTTTTTATTTTTTCTTATTTACATAATTTAGAGCCCATTATGAGTGCAAAATAACACTTATATAAAAATAATCCATCTTAAATGTATATGTACTAATATGGAAATGAATGAAGATTTTCAATAATATCTGCATATTATTTGGAATACACCATTTGAGTTGGACAGTCCTGGAAAGGGAAGGATATGACATTCTGACATATGGTGAAAAGCGGGTATTGGGCAAAAAATGGATGAGAACCACTGGATCAGGTCAATATTCTAATAAAGAAAAAAGTGTCCCTTGACAGAAATCAAACAATAACCCCTTTTTACTATCCAAAGGCGACACAGGTCTGATTTCTGTTGGGAAACACATTTTTTAGAGGATATCAATCTAGGCCAGTTGATATTAATTTCCATGTTTAAAAAAAATGTCCAAATTGTCCAAAATATCCAAATTGTCCAAAATGTTCAAAATGTTCAAAATGTCCAAAATGTTCAAAATGTCCAAAATGACCAAAATGTTTAAAATGTTCAAAATGTCCGAAATATCCAATGTTCAAAATGTCGAAAATGTTTAAAATGTCCAAAAATGTTCAAAATGATCAAAATTGTGAATTATAAATTGGAGATGCCAAAATCAATTAAGTACAAAAATTTAAATAATATAATGATATATAATATCAAAAATTTAAATTTCAGCTCATAATAGTTATTGGAAATATTTACCCTAAATTATTTGGTTGTGTATGATTTCCTTATGCTTACTTCTATATTTGAAAAGAAGAGAAGATGCTCTGTCCGTCACACACTTTCTGCACGTGATTTTGCATGCATGTACGTAATGTATATCTGTGTGTCCATGTTGTGTGTGAGTGACTTACATGTGATTGTGTCATTTGATGCATACATGAGCACACACATGCAATTTGAATGAATCTGAAATTTGAATAATGCATTCCCCATTCAGAACAACCCCTTTTCTGAGTTGAGCAAAAAAGTCATAAAGTTGGTGAAAAGAAAGAAAGAAAGAAAGAAAGAATGAAAAAAATTATGAACAGCTTATTGTCTCTAAAATTATCTTTTTCCTTACATGTGTAGATGAGTGTGAAATAAAATTAAAATAATATGTTATTCTTTATTTTACCTACAGTGAAAGAGCTTCATTCACTCTTTTTCTGTATATTACATATCAATATAAGTCTAGTCATATCTATTTATTGAAACCTAGAACCTCTGTCCAATTCACAATCCACTATGGTCTTTTGAACAAGAGTAAAGGCTTATCTCTTGTTTCCTATTTAGGATTTGGTTTCTGGTTCCTTTTAAAGTCTACTTTAAATTTATATTTGTAAAGTCACCTCCTAAAATTTGAAATTTTATTTACTCTTAATTTATTCATTATTTATTTTTTAGGTAGTTTCATCTATCGCCCGGTTCACAGACCGTCTTTGTCTTTTGAACGGTGGTAGAGGATTATCTCTTGTTTTCTGTTTAGAATTAGTTTATGGTTCCTTCTAAAGTTTTCTCATTCTCTTTCACTCTCAGTAACCTCTGGCATTTTAATGGCTATCACCTTGCTTGAGGGAAATGATTAAAAAAAAAAGTAGGTGTCCTGTTTATGATTTATGATAATATAAAGTGAATTTAGATTAAATTTAAGAAAAAGAAAATTAAATTTAAATTTGGCATATACGACATAGCATTGACATCTTATTGTCCACAAAAGGTTCATTCTTGGCACACCTGGTACAATGTTTTCTTTTTTTTTCCTTATAAATACTCTTTTGTACCAAATACTAGTGCCATCAGGAATAGTGATATCATTGAGAAATTTTTATCTTATAAAATATGCATGTCAGTTAGCATTTTATATATATATATATATATAAGTTTAATAAGTTGGGGATTAACAGTAAATAATCCAAGCATTAGAAAGAAGATGCTACAGAATTATCTTAAGCATCTTCTATATAGACCACATGACAAATGATGCAGCATGAGGCACCATCAGACAAGAAACAAACTCATTGCTAGATCTTGTGTACATAAAGAAAAACTGAAAAAATCAAAATAAATTGAGATTTGGTCAAATGAACAAATGAAACAAATTTAAATTATAGTAGACACACATATATTAATATCAGTTCAGTTATATCTATTTAATGGAATCAAGAACCTCCCTTTGACTACATGAATTTAAGCATGCTACTAGATTGGCAGCTAGGTCTCACTGTTTTAGTATTGAACTAGCTAGATGCAGTCATCAAATCTATTCAAATATAGAGTGCAGCAGAAATACACCCACATATACCTCCCAGAAATACCTCCCTCTTAATGGTAAGACACTAGTAACAATAATATCTTTAACTAGCTAATGTCTTACCATTATGTGGGAGGATATTTTAGGAGGTATATATGGCAGGTACTTCTGCAGCACCCTGCTGTTTCTTTTCTCGCACTTCTCACCTGTGGAACTCCCTTCTCAATTTCTTGTTTCCCTGCAATATTCAAAAATTAAATGCAATGTCAATCACCATCTTCTGACTTCCTGAATCCTGTTCCTTTATTGTCTTTTTTCCTCCTCACAACTCCTCACTAAAGATTTCTTATTCTCTTTTCACTCCCCATGTCCATTATCGCCTTGCCTGGGGTGAAATAATTATTGGGACATATTGTATTAATTAATCAGTTTCAGACAAAATTTTTTAAAAATCTCTTTTTATTGAAAATTATTAATAAAATATGATATGTTGATTGAGGGGATACAAGCTTAAAATAAAGTTTAGTTAACTTACATGGGGGTGGGTATAATGGCATCAAAAATTAAAAAAAAAATTAATGGCAACAAAAAATGATTTCAGATTAAAAAGGAGTTGAAAATGTCAAGGCTAATTTCTCAGTAGAAAACCCATTAATCTTTAACCACCCCCCAAATCAGATAATTATATAGATTTAGTCATTGCTAGTCCTTTTTCCATTGAGAGTTAGGTTTGTCCAGGAATTCAACTTGTAATTACAATTCCATCAAATTCACAAATTTATGCTTTAATCCTTGAGAATATACTGAGTAGTTTTGAAAAAAAAAAAGAACAAGATGGGATATCCCGAGATGAGAACATTAGAACAAGAACAATTTAACCCTGTAGATTGAATAAAGGGTTCAGTCCAAAGTTCTCTGAAGGTTATCAAGAGACACCTGAAGAAGGCAGGCAGGGTCAGTGCCCGAAATGTTGTGACAACAAAGATAAAGACATTAGACAGGAAGACAAAACCATTGGAATGTTATGATGATAATGACAAAGACAAGGATATTAGTCCAAATGAAAACAATTTAAATAATGATAACTCCTTATATTAATTGATTCTGGTGTCATAATAAATGCTAAAAAATACTATTGGTTCATTGACAAGACGTTTTGCTTTGTTACAGTTGCCAACCCAAAAAACTTAAAAGTTAAAGTGTAAATTCATTCAAGACAATGCTCTTTTACATTCTGAAAAACTTATTATTTTCAAAGACAACAAAAAATTTTTGTTAGAAACAAAGAAAAGAGTGCTACATTGCTTATGTGATATCCATCCTCTTATACAATAGTGAATGTTGGACAATCTTTGCATGGATGAAGAAAAAACTAGAAGCAGCAGAAATGTGGCTATACAGAAGGATACTGAGAATTTCATAGGTGGAGTGAGTAAGCAATGATGGGAGTGTTACAGAAAACTCAGAAACAGAAAAAATATAGCTGAAATTCCTTGGACACATAATAATGAAGGAGGCCTTGGAAACCCTCATGGGCATATTGAAGGCAAGAGAGAGAGGGAAAGGCAGTGAACCATTTATTTGAACTCATGTTAACATGTCAAATAAAATAATTTATCCAGGTGTAGGCTAAGTGGAAGTGAACAGTATCAAATCAAAGGAACAAATGACAAAAATAAACACACCGTACAAGGACTCTGCACAGACATCTGGGTTTCAATCATACATCAAATTTTTAGTTTAAATCTTTGAGCCCTGTGTTCCTAAACAATTTAAACCCTTCTGCCTGAGCTCATGATTCAAAATTCATAAATAATTGGTATATAATATTTCACAGTAGATATAAAAATAGTTACAAGTGTTTTTCCACCGTTTAGTTGGTAGTAATTTTTCTCTACTACTGTTCAACCGGTGACTGGGCATTACGTCATTTTTCTCTGCCACCAGTAAAGAGGTGGTCATGGCTCAAAGGGTTAATAAAATAAATAGCCAATAAAATCAGCTCCCAACAATAAATAAACACAAGCTTCTGGAGCCTACAGGAGACCATAAAAACCAAACATTCATTCAACTAGGCAGAAGGACTGACAGCAGTAAAGAGACATGAGTCAAACTAGTCATCCTGCCTTTCTCACCAAAACAACAGCAGACTCTCTTTGATCTTGTCTCTCAACTCCAATTTTTCTCTTCCCTACTGAAAGACTATTCATGTTCATTTCCTTACAAAAAGTAGAACTTTCTTTCATTTCATGATAAGTGATTACAGTTAAAAATATGTGTATCATATGTTTAAATAAATATCATTTTATTTGAGCATGTCACAATCTTTTATCTCAATTTTTTTATTCAACAAAAGGTGACCCATGGAATCTTTTCCCAACACAGATATATGGGATATTATATATATATATATATATATATATATATATATATATATATATATATATATATATATATATATATGGGATATTGGATGTTAAATTGTGGAAAGTTGAGGGGCTGAAAATTTGTCATTGTGAAAATATTCAACTCATCCAGAAAAAAAAAGAAAAGGAAAAGAAGAAAGCAGATAATGTGTAAATCCAAAATGTTTATAATCCAGAAATATAATCTGGTACATGGACATAGTATTAAACACCACAATACGCATAAGTATTTTAAGGAAAAGGTTTTGACTCTATTTGAATGTATGTTACTTGAAGAACACCAAATTCTGAATAACTTAATAACTATACTTGCTTAAAAGCTGAAACTTTGCAGATTAATAATTTGATATCTGCTTTAAATGCTGCATAAATTATATCTTAATCCATAGATTAGAAGTTAAATGAACGTTATTTTAATTTGGAATTCACTCAGCAGGGATATTGTATCATATTTTTGTCTTTCCTACTTCTTTTACATTCACAATTTTCTTTCTGTCTTTCTTTGAGTTTCACTACTTTTTTCTTTCTTTCTTTGACTACTTTCTTTTTTTCTTTTTTCTTTCACATTCACTACTTTTTCTTTCTTTCATATTTTCTTTCAGTACTCACTTTTTTCTTGCATTCCTTCTTGTTTTTATTTACATCTTTTATTTTTTCCTTCATGTTTTTTACATTCACTCCTTTCTTTCTTTCTTTCTTTCTTTCTTTTATATTCTCTCTCTTTCATCTTTCATATTTTCTTTTTGTACCCACTTTTTGCTTTTTTTATTCTTAGCATTTGTCATTTTTTCAGTATGTTCATTTTATATTCACTACTTTCATTCTTGCTTTTAGTTTCATTCCTTCTTTCATTTTTAGTTGAAAAAATATGTTTGAAACAAAAATACTATGAGCTAATTTCTTTGATTAAAATTTTGTTCCCTTTCTTACAAATGAAACATTGCAAGACTTTTGCCAGTTGTAACCTTCACACCTAAGACCTGCTATGCCATACACATTATAGTGAACCATCTTCATTCCCTTTGTATTCCATTGGTGAGATGTAAGTTCCATCTGGGTAGTTCCTTCTTATGAACTGCTGATATGTGTAACCAAATTCCAAGAGGATGCTTTCACAATCACTACAATGTTAACCTGTTCAAGTCTAGGGTCAACTGTTATCTTTCCCACATATCCCCATGAATTGTACCTCTTATTCTGTAAGCTTCTACTTCCAGTGGCTCTTGGGCCTTGTATAGAGTGAAAATCACTTTAAAAAATCTCACTCTATTTATTTATTGCTATCTAATTGTGTTCATATCTATCTATCTATCTATCTATCTATCTATCTATCTATCTATCTATCTCATTCTCCTCATATCTATTTCAATCTGATCATGTCTATCTATCTATCTATCTATCTCATTCTCCTCATATCTATTTCAATCTGATCATGTCTATCTATCTATCTATCTATCTATCTATCTATCTATCTATCTATCTCATTCTCCTCATATCTATTTCTGTCTGATCATGTCTATCTATCTATCTATCTATCTATCTATCTATCTATCTATCTCATTCTCCTCATATCTATTTCAATCTGATCATGTCTATCTATCTATCTATCTATCTATCTATCTCATTCTCCTCATATCTATTTCAATCTGATCATGTCTATCTATCTATCTATCTATCTATCTATCTATCTATCTATCTATCTATCTATCTCATTCTCCTCATATCTATTTCAATCTGATCATGTCTATCTATCTATCTATCTATCTATCTATCTATCTATCTATCTATCTATCGATCTATCTCATTCTCCTCATATCTATTTCTGTCTGATCATGTCTATGTATCTAGCTATAATAAAAGGAGATCAATAAATTTTATGACAATTTTCAGTCTAGAGAGCAACTGAAATTTTTTGTTTACAAACTTAAGAGACAGTCTTCTTAAATCATTCAATATACATGACTTTCTTTCATTCTTTCTTGTTCTTCTCTTCTTTCACATCCTCTCTCTCTCTTTACATATTCTTTTTTATTTTTCTGTTAATTCTCTTTCTTACTTACTTTCTTTTTAATTCTAACCCTTATTCTGATTTTTCTCTTTTTATTTTCGTTCTTTTTCCTTCCTTTTTTCTTTTCTTTTCTCTTTCTTTTTCTCTTTCTTTTTTCTTTCCTTTTCCCTTTCTTTTTGTTCTTTTTTCCACTTTCATTTTTCTTGATTTTTTTTCTCTTTCTAAATTTCTTTTTGACATTTTCTCTTTTACTTTTTACTATTTCTTTTCTAAATTGTTTCCCCTTTTCTCTTTCTGTCGCTTCTTATTGCTCTTTTCCCTTTCTTTCTTGTTTTCTTTTTATCTCTTTTTTAATAATTTTTTTTTCCCCTCTTTTTGAATGCTTCCTTCTGGGTGTCCCTCAATATATCTAGAGTCTCTATTAAGAGTATCTATATAGACACTTATATATATTCATATATATATATATATATATATATATATATATATATATATATATATATATATAGAGAGAGAGAGAGAGATATAGAGCATATATATATATATATATATATATATATATATATATATATATATATATATATAGCATTTGGTAGTATCTGAGTGCCTGTGTATGTAGACAGAATTAATTTCTTTATGTGTGTGCCACTACGCATATGTTTATATCTCATTATGCCAGATCGTTTGTGCACTTAGGGAAAACATGTTAGAAAAGCTCAGCCTATTTATCGTGTGCTTATAAGCCGACCCTGAGAAACTCAAACTTTGTCATCAATCATTTTTAAATTATATAATTACTCTTCCATTTACTTAACCTCTACTGAAAGGCGGAATGGGTCACAAAGTTAGTCTCCTTTTGCTTTCTGGATTTTTAGGAAAAAATAAAATAATGCCAATTTTTTATTTTGGGTGGAAAAAAAAAATAAAGACAAATAAATAAAAAACAGGAATATTTTCTTGATTAAGAACATTGCAGGTGAAGTGGACAAAATTCTCCCCCTCAAAAAAAAGAAAAAAGATCATCGTCTCTAAATCACTTTTGGCAGTTTGGGAAATCCACACCTTTCGAAGAACTTTCTTGCTTTCTGTTTTAGCCTCAATATTTTTGTTTTAGTTTCTTTCAAATTAAGCAATAATTTGCGTATGCACTTGAAGTATTTGGTCTGTGTAGATATTAAGAAACACAGACACTAAGACATGTAAAATGATATGTTTGTATGTGTGTATATATATATATATATATATATATATATATATATATATACACACAAAACAGGATATATATATATATATATATATATATATATATATATGAGTGGGTGTGCTTATGTGAGTCTTTACAAAAATGTACTGAAAAAGAGATCTGTCTATATATGTATATATATGTGTGTGTGTGTGTGTGTGTACACAGATATAGATATTGATGCATATGTACTATATACCAATATAAATCTGTGTGTGTATATATATATATATATATATATGTATGTATGCTTGTTTGCATGTCATAATGCATATACAGGTATAAACACATAAGCACACACACAGACATATATGTGTGTATAAAAATACATTAAGAGACCTACATACATACATACATATATATATATATATATATATATATATATATATATATATATATATATATATATATATATATACACACAAATATACACACATGTATACTCATAATATACATATATTTGTGTATATGTCTGCTTTCTTGTGTTAATGCATATATAGAGACACACATATATATATATATATATATATATATATATATATATATATATATATATATATATATATACATATATATATAGGGTAATTGATAAAATAGACAGGTGTCCTTGTCAATATCTTTTTTCATACATGATTATTACATTTAAGTAATCATAATTTTTTTCCTTCCTTCTTTATTTCCTCACTTCATGTCCCCTTCCCCCTCCCTCAACTTTGAGTCTGCACTCTTTTTGCTTTTACTTTCCATTTCTTTCCTTTCATTGTACCGTCCATTTTGTTTCATTCACCTCAACTGGAAAAATATATTCTAATTAGGCTTATAATATGTTTCATGATAAATTTTCTCAGTTTATGAGACTTCAACTCAAAGAACAATCTTCTTAGCTCATATGAACCTTTTCAATTCTGTAATTCATCACATTATGGGTGTGTGTCTCTATATTCAGATGCATACACAGAACTGTGTAAATAATCATAATCCATACATATATACATACATACATACATACATACATATATATATATATATATATATATATATATATATATTATAATTATTGTCGCATAGCAAACTTCTATGCAAATAAAACAGTCATCTTTGACGGTGAACATCTCTATTGGAATTTCTATATAACTACTCTTATGATGGCTCATGTGAGACAAAAGCTTAGATCAGACCAATATAATAAAGAAATATTCAAATCTTTGACAGTTTTTGTCTTTATTTTCTCTTGAATCTAAAGCCAATATACGACACTTGGAAAGGCTCATGATCAAACATGATAGACATTCGTTGTCTGTTATATTTAACAATATGTGTTTGAATTACATATATATGTATATATATATATATATAGAGAGAGATAGATAGATAGATAGATAGATAGATAGATAGATAATATTTAGCTCTATTCTGTATTGAGCCCTCTTTTAGATGTTACATTACAGTGGAATTATACTCCATTTGTTTTCATTTTATCTGTATAAATATATATATATATATATATATATATATATATATATATATATATATATATATGTATATATATATATATATATTTTTATGTCTAATAGGAGTAGACAGGTTTCCTATCATCCAGTTCACACTCCTTACCTGTCTTTTGAAGAGGAATAAAGGTTTATCCCTTGTTCCCTGTTTAGGATTGGGTTACCTGTTCTTTCTAAACATCTACTTCAACTCTATACTACTAATGCCCCAGAATAAAGTCTATAATTTTATTTACTATTTCTTTTTTGTTTTATTTTTTCCTCATTAGGAGGAGATAGTTTTTTTGCCTGTTGCCTATTTCATACTCATCCTCTGTTTTTTAAAAAAAGGAGGTTCATCCCTTGTTTCCTGTTTAGGATTTGGTTTCTGATTCCTTTTAAAGTCTACTTTAACTCTAAGCTTCTAACGTCTTCAACTGAATTTCTCATTGTAACACCTTGTGTTTTAGTGGCATCATCACCTTGCTTGGGGTGAAATGGTTAATATATATATATATATATATATATATATATATATATATATATATATATATATATATATATATATATATATATATATATATATATATATATATATATATATTTTAAACAGTATATTTATTTATTTTTGTCTAGCAGCCTGGATGCTTGAGAAATCTTATTAAAGAAAAATTTGCCCTCTTTGGCAGGAATTGAACATGCATCCCTCAGGACATAGAGAGATACCAGTTAGCCAAGCATGCCTTAACTGACTTCGCTACAAAGAGCAGTGTAGGTTAAGGCATGGCAGACTAAATGGTAGCTTCCTCTGCCCTGAGGGGTGCAGGTTCAATTCCTGCTAAAGAGTGCAAATTTTTCATATATATATATATAATAGTGGCCATTAGTTACATAATCTGTTTTGAACAAAGCATATAAACTCAAGACCTCAGTCATGATGACTTGTGACTTCCAAACAGTTCTGTCACAAGACTTGGCCAAAGTCATGGTGTGGTTTTCAAACACTTTTCAAAGGTTCCACACAATGGGATCACCTCCCCAGACTGTTAATATCAAGGTCAGATTCCATGGTGAAATTCAAACCTGAGTCTTATGGTTGATAAGCAAACATTCTAATCAATCTGTCACATAGGCATACACAAATGTTAAGCCTTCACACATAAAAATCATTGAAAAGGTACACTGGATTTTTATATATATATATATACAGCAGTGTTGCATTTTTGTGGGAAATTGTTGTCGGCAATACATTTTTGGAAAAGAGGGAAAAAATTATTGCCAGCAATACATTTTTTAAAATAAATATTACTAGCAATAAAAGTCTTGTCAGCATTAAATAACCCATTTAAGTTTATTTATATGCTATAAAACTAAACAAACCCAACCAAACTATTCCTACTCAATAGCCTCTAGAATAATTTGAAACATAACCGTTACCACCTACCCTATAACCATTAAGATAATACTATAGAACTGGCTACATAAGATGCATCACTAACCAGCATATAAACATAGTTAAGTCTAAACACAACACATATGGCCTGAAGATTGCTTTCAATCTTAAAACAGAGTGTCCACTTTTATATTTACATATTTCTTTTTTTTTTTAAGTATTTCACCCCAAGCAAGGCGAGAAGCCACTAGCATGCAAGGGGTTACAGAGGATTTGGAGCGAGAGCAGATAGAAGTGATAGAGGAAAGGATGAGGAGAAGGACAGTGGATAGATCAAGGCAACTGGAGATGTCGATTGACATTACATTTGAAAAGTTGAAGATTATAGCTATCAGGGAAACAGGAAAAGGGAAGGGAGTTCCACAGGCGAGAGGTGCAAGATATGAAGCTATTGGAGTAGAAAAGACGGCTACATTTAACAGTTTCAACAGTGAAAGGGTGAGAGCGGGATGCCAGCCTCATAGGACGCTTGAATTCATGAAGTCTGGGAACCAGTGAAAGCAGCTCATCGGAGCAATTACCATGAAAGTATTTGTAAAAAAATACAGAGAGAGGCGAAGACACATCCGGGAGAGAGTTACTGCAGACTATTATTATTATTATTATTATTGTTGTTATAATATTTTTATTATAACAAATTACAATAAAAACATAAAATCTGTTATCGACTATAGCCCGAAGAAGAACCATTATAGTTCGGAAACATGAAAGTTTTTATTTAGCAATGTAGAGTGTTTTTATTGTAATTTATTACAATCATATTTTGCTCTACTTTGGATTCTTGCTCCATCTGTTCTTTCTCTTATTTAGGATATATATATATATATATATATATATATATATATATATATATATATACATATAAATATAGATAACTAGACTCGTTTTGAAAAAACCCTCGAATTTTTGATTTGCTAATCAAATCAATCTCGAGGGAAAAAGGTTTTAAAAAAAGAAAGAGCTACAAATATGAACTTCTGCTGACAAAAAAATCGCACAGATGCAGGTCTGAAGCCCAAAGAAAAAACCCCGATACGAGTAACAACTAACTAACAAAAGCGCTCAATACAACCGTAGAGCAGACCTAGATACACCTAGTGAGCCAGACAAACCTACCTAGGTTTCACCTAAACGGATCGTCAGGGAAAGTTGGGCTCACTAGGTGTATCTATATATATATATATATATATAGCTTT